AGCATCTTCCTTCTGCCCCTAAGAAGAAACCAGATAAACTACAGCATCATAACTTTTGTGGAAGCTATCAGAAAGCTGGAATTTGGGGGGAATTACAAGCTTTTAAGCTAGGAACCAGCACCTCTCTAAGGAGGAGACAGCAGGGATACTAGTTCTGCAGGGAGCTGGGCCTCCAGAAAAACACCTGAAGCCAATGATGCAGGACTATGCACCCACCCCTACCACCACCTCCACTGGTGTCCGCAGAAAAGACAGAGAAGACAGGAATGCATTCCTGGGCACTCACTACAGCCAAGAAAAAGGAATGACCAAGTCCCACCTGGATTCTTCTCCCAATGGAGAAGACTAAGCCTTTAGGAAACAGACGGTAACCCTGTCTTCCAGGGCACAGAGACCACTGTGGCTGAAGGAAGAGAGGTCTCCTACGATAGCAGAAAGATGGGAAATGTTCTACTATAGCAGAACTATCAAAGGTATAAGGCAAACTGGGTGTACTGGTGCACACCGTAATCCCAGCTACATGGGAGGCTGAGGCAGAAGGATCACAATTTCAAGATCAGTATGGGCAACATAGGGAGATCCTATCTCAAAAAATTAAGAGTTGGAGATGGTAAGGCACCCACTGTGTTCAATTCCCAGGATCAAAAGAAAGAAAAAAAACATAAAATTAGAGCTTGGGTGCACCGGAAGGAGGGGCTGAACAGTAATCTCCTGAGACACAGACTCCTGGGCTTGCCTGTGCCTAGATTGAGCCAATACAGTAGAGATCTCACTGTTCCCCACTCCCACCAGATTACCAAGCCAACCAACAAACAATGGCACTCTCTACAGTGAATCTTCAACAAAATTTAATACTTGCAATTCTTTTTATTTATCTATCTACTTATTTGTTTACTTTGTCATGCTGGGGATTGAGCACAGGGCCTCATGCTTGCCAGTCAAGCACTCTACCACTCAGCCACATTCCCATACCCAAACTTGAGAGCCTTTAAAAGACATCTTTAAAAAAGTATCACAAGCCAGCATGGTGGTACACTCCTGTAATTCCAGCTACTCAGGAAGCTAAGGCAGGAGGATTGCAAGCCAGCTTCAGCAACTTAACAAGACTATCTCAAAAATAGAGGAGCTGGGGTTGTAGCTCAGTGATAGAGCGCTTGCTTCACACACGAGAGGCACTGGGTTCAATCCTCAGCAACACATAAAAATAAATAAACAAAATAAAGGTATTGTGTCCAACTAAAAATATATATATAAAAAAAGAATAAAATTAAAAAAATAAAAAATAGATGTAGCTCAGTGATAGGGCATGCCTTGGTTCAATCCCCAGTACAAACAAGCAAACCACCACCAAAAACTGAAACAAAATGTTTGAAATATGTAGATCACAAGGGCTTTCATACAGAAAATACAGAGAACTCTTTACAGCTCAACAGAAGACTGAAAAGTCAAGAGAAAATGGGCAAAGTTTTATAAGCTTCTTCACCAAAGAACAGATATGAATGTCATTAAGCACATAAAAAAGATGATTAACATCTTTAAGTCACCAGCAAAACACAGATTAAATCTATAATGACAACCCTTTAGCATGGCAAATTAAGTGACTGACAATACAAGTGTTGGTGAAGCAACTGGAGGTCTCATTTCCTGTTGATGGAGATATAAAATGCTGCTACCACTTTTGAAGAAAATCTGGCTATTTCTTAGAAAGTTAAAATAAACCTACCATAGGATCCAAAACTCTACCACAGACACTTTCTTGAAAGAAAATAACTATACCCAAATATTTTTAATATCTTTATGTCTGATGGCCCAAGACTGAAATATCCTGAATGTTATATAACGGTGAATGGACAATTTTTGGTATTTCCACAATGGAATCTACTGAGCAATAAAAATAAATAAACCACTGATGCATGAAATAGAATGCCCAAATCTCAAAATCATCATGCTGAGCAAAAGCCAGACAAGATCATGTACTGGGCCTGGGTGCAGCTCAGTGGTAGAGTGTATGCTTAAACTGTACAAGGTCCCGGGTTCAATCCCCAGCATCCAAAATTAAAAGAACATATTGTATGATAAAGCCATTCATATAAAACTGTAGAAAATGAAAACAAAGACAAAGTAGGTGAGTAGTTGCCCTGGGACAGGGGTGAAGGAATACACTGCCAATGCACAAAGTCCCCTGGGACTAGTAATAGTCACAAAATCATTACCTTGACCTAGCAATGATCTCACAAGTGCCCACATACATTAAAATCGTAGAAGAACACTTAAAATATGTTGTTTTACTGTAGATAAATTAAAACTTAAACATTTAAAAAAAATTTTGGCTTATATGAAAACGCAAAAAGTTTTACATAAGCTCAATCCCCCACAGAATCAGACCACAAGACAGAGAGAAAACATAAGTAATTCCTATCACAAAGGGTTGATTTCATTAACATCCCAGTGATCATTAAGACCAACAAATCAAGAGCAAGAAAAAAAAGTAACAAAAACAAATGACTCCTTAATACTTAAAAAGACATTCATGCATAAGAGAAATGCAAACTAGAAACACTTTCACCCACTGAACTGCTGTATACTGTTTTTATAAAGCATAAACGCTACTGTTGGTAAAGGTGTGGGAATATGAATATTAATAAGTGACCAACACCACAGGATGGCAGCCAAAATAATGAATGCAAACACCCTTTCTGTCCCGTTGTTTGTGACTAAAACATTCAGGGTTACTCCAGGAGAACTGGGCTGCAGGAAATAACCACACAAGAGAGAGAAATACCTTTATCTTTGGGGGTGCTGTGACAGCTCCTCTGACCTTAAGGGTCTACAGAAAGAGACAGAGCAGCGACCCCTTTTATTGAGGAGAAGCCATTCAAATGAGGCAAGGGATCAGGGGGCTGAGACAGCAGACCCCTTCAGGAGGTCTCCTGTCAGCGGGCTGATTGACATCTAGGAAGGCCACACCCAAGGGCAGAGTAAGAGAAGGGGACACACAAGGGGCATTTCTATGGAACATTCTATCCTAAACAGGGCAAGGGGTTATATCACAAAGGACCAGGTGAGCATACCTCGACCCATGGGGCTGCAGGAAGGCACGCCTACACATGAAGACATTTGGTTGCATTATTTCTACCCTCAAGATTGGGGCTACCATCTTCGGCTACTTAAAAGCAGCCAGATCACCGGGTGACCAACAGTGCCTCAAACCAATTAGGAGAGGAAAAACGCTGGTCACATGACGTGACAGCCTCCCACACCTTTCTAATGGAACAATTCACCATCACGAATTTATCCTACAGATAAATTAGCACATGTACAAATTATCTGAGTACAAGTTTATTCACCTACATCAGCATTATTTGTTATGGCCACAAAACTTGGGGGAAAAAAATGAATGACCAACAGTGGAATGTTTTCCAAATAAATTAAGATAAATCTGACAAGATACACTCTGAGAAAGAATTACTTTTATACTAATACAGACAGATCTCCAAGCTGTGCTCACTCAAAAAATGGAACATGTGGAATAGTGCAAACACCAAATATCACTGAGTTCAAAAGCAGGAGCTGTGGGGGGCAACTCAGTGGTAGAGCCTATCCCTAGAACATAAAGTCTCGGTTCCATCCCTAGACTCCTCCCATCCAAAGAACAGGTCATCTGTGGGGGAAAGAATATGGAAATACATAAAATATGCCTCAAGAAGGTTGCACAAGAAACTTACAACTTAGGGAAAAGGTACAGGAAGGAAACTTTTCATAGTACACACTTTCATGTTTTGTGCGTCTGAATCATCCACTTCATTACCCATTTAATTAAAAAACAAACAAACAAAACCCCAAAAAACAAAACACAAAACACAAAACCCTGGGAAAAAGGAAGACTGATGGCAATCACAGGATGCAAATTCCAATTTTCTGGCACATCCCACCCAAACTTCTCAGAACTGCTATAACATAATCTGGTCAGAACTTCTGTTTCTGTTGAAATTTAGGTTTCTGAGTTTCAGCCTCACACAGAAATAAGTGTTTATATACCTCAAAAAGAAGGGCTGCACTACACCAAGTCTCCCATTCCCAAAAGCATCTGCACAATACCCCAAGTTGAGGACCTACACATTCGGTCACCTCAACAAACATTGTGGAAGTCAGTCAATACTTATCAAGTACTAACCACACACCTGGCACTACAATGGTTATGGGGAAAGACCAGCAAAGACTCTGCTCTACCAAACAACTGCAAATTACCAAAAAAGCCACCAACATGTTCAAAAGGATTGAAACGCTTCTACCTTAGTGCATCTTAAAGACACCTCTGCAACTGAAATATAGCATTTGAAGTACCATCAAGAAAAAAACACCCAACAGAGAGAATAATATAAACCCTGCATAAAGCTGAAAGGGAATGAGAAATAAACCTTCCATGTGGAAAGAGGGAACAAGACTTGTATGTTACTCTTAACACCTAGAAAAAGGGGGGCATCCCTTTTTGAACCCCAAGCATCACCACCTGTATGGTCCCCAAACCCTCAGGGAACTTCAAGTGGCCACAGGCTGGTCATTTTTAAGATGATCAGCAAAACTAACTACAGAATTCCAATCTGACCAGCCATAGCAAGTATACACACTCCTGATTTTTAGATGTACCTTGCTCAGACACTGATACACACCTAAGAACGGAAGAAATGTGGTATGTATGATTGATGGCAAAGAATTTGGAAGAGAATGAAGATGTTTTGTGCCCAAACACTATAAACATTCTTGAAATTCTCATGGCACATTTTCAATAAATTATTTTCCATACTTTCTTGTAACTACAATTTAAATTAATATTTAAATACAAACATCTGACAAATTTATATGCTATCACACACAAGGAAATAGTCAAGCACACTAAATGATCAAATACAAAAATCTATGAAAATGCTAAGTAATGACCTCATTTTTTAACAAAAACAGAAGACAGGTTAAGACAACTCCTTTCTTTTAATTAAACTTACTTTATTGCTGCCAACTTTTTGGATAGAGTTCCTTCTGCTGGAATCTGTTAAGAGAAAAAAAAGTATTACAGAAAATTCAATATTTGAAATATTACTTCAATAATTTCCTTTCAATTGAAGCCAATATCTGTCATGTTGTGATCAGAAGCATTTTAGGGAAATGATCACATCAGAAACAACAGTCCTGATGGTTCGTGAGAGGGATGTCCTGGGCTCAGGACAGAAATCCCTACAGATGCAGCACACACCAGGCTGAACAGGCCAGGTCTGTCAGACGGCCTAGATGAAGTCAGCACACTGAGTTTGCCAACCGCCCAGTGACTCCAAGAGGTAGAAACGCCAGTAATGAAGGCATGAGAAGAAAAGGAAAATCATTTTATAGAGTGAGTGGGAAAAAAGCAATGCTTATAGATTAATATCTTGTTTATCTTATATCATTTTAAACATGTCTAACTAAATTGGTAAGTAATGTAAAAGGATTTGTTACCTCATCCGTATCTCTAAGTGTTTATGTATTCTAATTGGAAAAACATTCAGTGCTTTCTTAAATTGGGCAATATTCAGGATCACTTTATTTGCAGTCCTATTCAACCTATTTATTTAGCAGAACTGGGGACTGAACCCATGGGGGCACTATCATTGAGGCACTTCCCCAGTCCTTTTTATTTTGAGACAGGATCTCATAAGTTGTCCAGGCTAGACTCAAACTTGCAATTCTCCTGCCTCAGCCTCCTGAGTTGCTGGGATTTCAGGTGTGAGCGACTGTGCACAGGTTAGTCATATACAGTTTTTAAGAGTGAATGAATCAGGCAGATAATACGTTTTGGAAGAGGTGGAATTTCAAGTTAAAACATTTATAAATGTCAGGTCAGTAATGTGCCAAACACGGCTTGGGTACTAAAAAGGCCAAGGTGAAAATACACCAAGCCTGCAAGCTCACAATCCATGAATGGTGAATCTCTCTAGGCAGTTGTTAAAAATCTCCAGAACACTTTTCCCTCCCTTTACTTACCTAGTAAGTTTATACAGCAAAACTAAGAAATTTGAACTATTTCTTCTTTTCTCAGTTTGTCTTACTCAAATTGCTAATGTAATCAAACTCTTAGTGTAGACAGAAAAATAGTACAAGACATGGGGCATACACCTGTCACTGAAGATAATAAATAAATGCAACACCAAGCAATAAAGCACATTAAGAATTTACAGGAAGAGGGCTAGAGTTGTGGCTCAGTGGTAGAGCGCTCGCCTGGCATGCGTGAGGCAATAGGTTCGATCCTCAGCATCAATGAAAAAAATAAAATAAATGTACTATGACTATCTACAACTAAAAAAATATGTATTAAAAAAAAGAATTTACAGGAAGAAACACCACTTAATGGTATAATGTATCAGAAAAGGCTTGAAGAAATGCCAGTTTTACCTGCATACTGAAAAATATGGTAAAATGGTACTTTGAGGAGAATTGCAGGCCAAAGCAAGTAAAATGAGTCAAATGACAAAATCTGTATGTGGAGGAACATGCTACCAGGCTAAGCACTAAACACACATTTCAATGGCCATGAAAAGAACAGAGCTTCTACATACTTCAATACATATTCAATGTCATCAGGTGCTGGTGACCCAATGACAAGCAAGTTAAACTGCACTTGTAATCACGGCTTACATCTGACAGGGCAGGCAAACAATGGTATCAAATAGTTTCTAAACAATGCACAAAGTTCCAAGCTTCAGGATGGAGCCAAAGAGAACCCAGGGTGAGAGAAGAGACTGAGCAGGCTCCGCAGTGGTGAGGAGCAATACCAGGACTCAGGGTATGTGTGTGTTTATAGAATGTTAACAAGTGGCACAGAAAAAGTGGCAAGAGTTCCAGAAAACTGCTGGTAGCTGACAGTTATGTGGAGACAAAATATAGGAAAACCAAAGGAAGAAACTCTAAAAGGGTTTTACAACTACTCTCTCTCTCTTTTTTTTTTTGGTACTGGGGATTGAATCGGGGTGCACTTTACCATTGAGCTATATCACCAGTCCTTTTTTTATTTTGAGACAGGGTCTTGCTAAGTTGCTTATGGCTTCTCTACATTGTTGAGGCTGTCCTCAAACATGTGATCCTCCTGCCTCAGCTTCCTGAGTCACTGGGATTATGGCATGCACCATTGTGCCAGGCCCTTTACTACTAATCTAACAAGAGTTGATGAGAATGTAGCTAGGGCAGGGGGTACAAAAAGAATGACTCCAGCTGAAAAACTAGGCTGGGTGAGACAAAGAGTGAAAGGCAACTCCAAAGCCTGCAGCCAGGTGTAACCGAGGAACAGAGAAAATCAGCACACAGCATAGGTCAGAGTGGGGTACCGGTGGAGGTAAGCACAGGTACACTGCAGCTGGGGAGATGGCAAGACACACAGTCAGCAGACTAGGCAAGGCTCTAGTGTGGGGAAATGGGACTCAGAAAGGCAGATAAAACACAAATGGCAAACACACTGACTGACAGATTATGGTGACTACCAAACTCTCGAGAAATGTCTCCTTGTACAGCAGTGGACAGCCCTGCCTCCTGAAACATTTGGCAATATTTAGAGATATTTTTGGTTGTCACAACTGGGGTGGGGAGGGTTGCCCATCTAGTGGGTGAGGGTCAGAGATGTTACTAAATATCCTATAGTGCACAGGGCTGCCCTCAACAACAAAGAATGACTCAGCCTGACACGCCAGTGTATGAAGGCCAAGAAACCCTATTTTAGAGAATCAAGAACAATTAGAAACATGAAAAAACATTGCCTACACTCTTTTACATTATCTATATTAATAAATAGTGTTCACGGGGCTGGGGTTTTGGCTCAGTGGTAGAGCACTCCCCTAGCACAGGTAAGGAACTGGGTTCAATCCTCAGCACCACTTATTAAAGATAAATAAATAAATAAAGGCATTGTATCAATCTACAACTAAAAAACAATTTTTTAAAATAAAAAATAATAGTGTTCAAGAATACATACTACCATAAGTTAACTATCCAGAAAGAAAAACATGAATGGGAAAAATCAAACAACATGAATTATGCTTATTTCATGCTCCAGGGAAAGCGGCCATGACTGGTCCTGAGTATGAAACTGGTGAAATCAGGCATCCCTAATGTCAATCCAGTTTTAACATTAATTAACTAAAAGACACATCATCTACACCTGCTTAACCTCATGCCAACCTCCCACACTGAATGCCTCTTACAGGGTTGCCCAATTCCAGAAACACTATTCAGTATCAACAATTCTGCTTAATGTATTGACACAACAAAGTGATTCACCCACCCTCAAACATACACAAGAACATCACTTTACTTATTACATGAGCTTATTAAATTATGTAACCAGTTTGACATTCAGAAACAGACACTGAGAGCCATCTTCTCTTGTGCTAGAGTTACACCTACTGACTCCAAAATCTAAAGCTCTTCCACCATCCTTATTACCAAAAAGTCAGTTAGTTTAATTCACATGAAAAATTTTACAATGACTGAAATTTTAAGAGGGGGAGAACTTACTAGAGAACGAAACCGCACAGATTCTATTTGTCCATACTCCCTAAAAAATGACTTCAGTTTCTAAAATTAAAAAACAAAAACAAAAACAAATTAGTCCATTTTCAGAACATCAAGTAGGTGTCACAAAAAGTAATGCCATCAAATTGTCTGACAGTCTTTTCTTAAAAAACGTCATTTTATTTATTTATTTTTATGTGGTGTGGAGGATCGAACCCAGGGCCTTGCATGTGCTAGGCGAGCGTTCTACTGCTGAGCCACAACCCCAGCCACTGTCTGAAAGTCTAAAGCCAGTTTTCATTTTAAGAATAACCGAGAAAAAACAGAAGAGTACTGTTCAGTCAGAAGGAAAAGTTTTACTGAAACTTATAGTAAAACAAAACACAATTTCAGTTCCTATCAGTGCCTATGAGTTGCACAATACTTTTGTTTCAATCTTTTAGTCTTTTATCCATGTTAGTTGAGGGTAGACTGGGATTTTCACATATTCTCTGATTTTTTTCACATTGGTTTAAAACAAAATGAATTTTAAGGAAGCTTATGTCACACTAAGAAATGCTTCAGTTATGTCTAATTGAGACAACCAGCTTGAACAAACTCCTAGAAAGCAAATTTTAAACATTATTCCTATTACTGGATGTGAAGAACACATAGGTTTTATAGGTTGGGCAGTTTTATAAATAGGGCAATAATTTCTATAACTCATTCTGTTTAAAAAAAAAACTTACAAATGATAATTTGCTCAAACCAACATATGCCACACTCCCTTCCCTTAAGCCCCTTAACCTAACAGGAAGATAAATAAAACTATGTTACTGAGCAAAATGTATGATGGCCTAGTAAAAAAATCACAAATCAAATGCTAGGAGACAAAAGCATTAGGGAGAAAGGAAAAAACCAAGACATCTTTTGTATTGTTTTAAAGAAGTAGAATTTATATGGTCTTCAAAACACCAGCAGCTTTTTGATGCGAGAATTGTCAATACAGTGACTACTACACGAAAACAGAGCCAGGTGCAGGGGTGCACACTTGAAATCCCAGGCTCAGGAGGCTGAGGCAGGAGGATCCCAGCCTCAGCAAAAGCAAGGCACTAAGCAACTCAGCGAGACCCTGTATCTAAACAAAATACAAAACAGGGCTGGGGATGTGGTACAGTGGCCAAGTGCCCCTGAGCTCGATCATAGGTCCCCCCGCCACCCCCCTCCAAAAAATAGTAACATAAGGGCATGTTTTAGATTTAGTGAACCTGACATAATTCAAGAAACTTAGAATGTACTCATTCTTTCACAACAGCAAATGTTTATAGAGCCCCTACTATGCTCAAGGTACCTTCTCATGTGTGAGAGACAGAGCAGTGAAGGAGACAGACGAATACCCCTGCACGTAGTTTTCATCCCAATGGCATATAACAGAGATGAGGCCGGAAGAAAAAAGCTTTTGATTTGCAAAAGCCTGAATTTGGACAATGACTATAGAAATAAAAAAGTGGGGCAAACATTGGAACCAATGTGTAGTAGAATGATAAATGTAGTCCTTGATAATAAAGTTATATCAATGACTTATCAAATTATGTGCTTACTCATAGTAAGAGAGTAGATAAAGTTATTAATTTCTTTAAATATTTACAAAACCACAAACTCACCTTCTTATTACATGTGACAGGCAAGTTCCCAACAAATATAGTCCTCTCATTCTTTAATCTTTCTTCTTCTTGATTGATCTCAATTTTCTTTCTTTGACTTACATTGTAGCTGTGTCTATCAGTTACTTTAATACTAGACTGGGAATTTTTCCCTTTCTGTTTCTGATGAATTTCTTCTTCTAAATCAGCACTTGCTAGAGCACTTTCCCTAATTTTAAGGCAAAAACATAGAATGAGAAGTTATGGAAGTAAGCATTTGACCAAGTACAATTCTACCCTCCTTATTAGAAACATTTCCCGGGACTTGTGGTTTTTCTAAATGTAAATCTACTACAAATAAATATATCAAAAGACTTAAAGTAGCATAACTAAAAAGAAACTAAGAGACTTAGAAAATGAATTCTATTACTCAGGAGTTAGAAAAAGTTAAGCACAAATTTTAAACACAAGCTAAAACCAGCCAAGCAATAGCAGCAGCAACAAAAGTTCATCTAAACAAAAGTCAGTTTATTTAAAGTTCTTGGAGATTTAGTTTACACTTCATCAAAGCCTAATTTCAGTCTCTGCTCTACAACTTGGACAATGCAGCATTCCCCAGGAATCTAAAAAGGTTTATATGGCCACCAAGCACTCACTTTGTAAAAAGAATTTGGTCAATAGAAAAAACTGGATCGCCAAACTTACAAAAGTTCTGTAATAGTTAAAAGGCTGCTTATCAAAAGTAAATTGGTACACATAAAGACATAAGGTCTGACATGGATCCAAAGAGAGAACGAGACAGGGATCTTAAGAAGTGAGAGGAAAGAATGGGAAGTGGGAATCATTTTAAAAAGATTCACCCATGAGCAAATACTTGCTGTGTTCCGACTATGTTCTAGGCTCTGAGGACATGAAGAAACTATCAACCTTTCAATAGCAAAGTCAAGACAGGCCAAATTCAAAACAGAAAAAACATCAGCTAAAATACATGGTATAGGAACTTAAAAGAAATAAGAGAAACAAGATTTCTAAGAGGAGGAAAGCAGTATCTGGCACACAGTCCTCAAGAAACATGGGCTACAAGTACTTCTCCACCAGACCAAATCTCCACTACAGAGAGGGTCCACATCCAGATTTACCCACCATGGTATGTCATGTCACATCCAGATCTGCTCACCATGGTATGCCATGTATACAGTAAGATGGAAAGGAACTACGATGACATGGTAAACTAAGGTCCAGGTCAAGAAGAAATATCCATGTTATGCAAAAGCACTTAAATTTCTATTTTACAGAAGACGGGGAGCTACCAAAGATCGAAAATATCAAAATGATCAATCTGAGCAACAGCCAGAAAGACAAGAAGAGGTCAAGGATGGAGAAGACAGTCGAGTAAGGAGATGACTATAACAGTGTGTATCTAAGAAGAAAACAGATTAACCAGAGCAGGGATGGAGGTGTAAAGGAGAAAACAAATTAAAGAGGTAATTAAAAGAGCACTGATCAAGTATGGTGATGCACACCTATAATCCCAGTTACTTGGGAGGCTGAGGCAGAAGCATCACTTGAGCCCAGGAATACAGGCCAGCCTAGGGATAAGGTGAGACCCTGTCTATTAAAAACAAAACAATAAAGTACAAGCATCTGGCAACTAATGGCTCATGCAGGGAAATGGAAGAGCACAGGATGATTCCTAAAACACTGGCTTAGTCAACTTACAAAGTGAGTGGAACCATCATGCCCATAAACAGATTTGATGAGGAGGATCATCTCCATTTAAAGCACATGGCACAGATGTCAGTAGGCAAAAGTTAAACAAGTCTAGAGATCAGGAGAGGGTGCACAAAACAAACAAACAAACAATGCCCACAATGAACAGTGAAAAAAAATTAAAGTTCTGAGAAGATGACCAGGAACAAGAACTTTAAGGAAAAGCAACATTTTAAAGAGACAAAATGAACCCACATTAACAGTGAAAAGGAAAAGACAAGCAAGAAGAGAATTAGAAGAAACTGCTCTCAGAGAAACCAACAGCTTCACTGATGAAAGCAGCCATGTAAAATGTGACGGAGAGGACAAGGGCTGCACTGCCCATTATATATGACGAGTAAGTCAAGATGCATCACCAAGCACTGTTATATTGTTTGGACAAAAACAAAAACACCAGACTGCAAGTCTGTGGAAAAGTTCATAAATCATGAAAAGGAGCCAGGCATGGTGTCACACTCCTCCAATCCCAATGACTTGGGAGGCTGAGGTAAAAGGATGGCCAAGTTCAGGGCCAGCTCCAGCAACTTAGGAAGGCCCTGAGCAACTTAATAAGGCCCTGTCTCAAAAAAAAGGGGCAGAGGATGTGATTCAGTGGTAAAGTATCCCTAGGTTCAATTCTCAGTACAATAATAAAAAAAAGTCACAAAATGGGGAAGAGTCCAACAACAAACTACTTTTCCCCAAAAGTACAAATATGAAGGAAAAGACAGTGGGAACAGTAGCAAACACACAACAATCGAGAATGGGGGTTTTTGGTTATTGGATTTCTTTTTTCAAGAAGAGAACCTTGAGCATGTTAAATGGTTAAAAGTTCAAACACAGTGTGGTATGCTGTGGCTCAGTGGTAGAGCGCTTGCCCTGCAAGAGAGGCCCTGGTTTCTATCCTCGGCACCACATAAAAAATAAATAAATAAAAATAAAGATATTATGTCCATCTACAACTAAAAAAATATATTAAAGAAGTTCAAAGACAAAGGAAAAGAAAAGGAGAGGATCTGATGGCAAAATCTCTAAGGAGGCAGAACAGGTATGTGATAGACGCAGCACAGGTGGCAGAAATAATTTTTAACAATCCTCAGTACAGCCAAAAAAAACTAATAGAAAAAATTTCCTCCCTAGGAAAACCAAACTGACCTTTTATAAACATTCTCAAATAATTAATGATAAAACATAAGCCATAAGTTCGATTCCATATGGGGAGGACACTCTGAATACGGCAAAGGTGAAACAGGTCTGTCCTAATGACTGCCAACAGTGGGTTCCTTATTCTTTGCAACTTCGTATAAGATTTTTACAAAAAATAGGACGAAATATGAAACGAGAAAACAACTAGGATGCATACTGCGGGCGTGTGAAGTTTCATTTCTTACCATACGATTCTTTAACGTCGGCTAAGAGAACTGTACCAACCTGTTGGCCAACCTGGCCTCCGTCTCGGACAGTTTCTTCCTCGCTTTCGTCTTTTGCAAAAGTGGCCTGCGACCCTGGGGTGGGCTCTCCTCCCGCGGCTCGCGCCCCCGCTTCCGCGAGGCTTCCTGTGGGGAGCGTGACGTCAGGCCGCGCCGAGCACCAGGGCGCTCAGGGGCCTTCGGGGACGCCGCGCAGGCTCACCTGTGGCGCGGGGATGTACACCGGGAGGGCCCGCGGCGCGGAGGCGCTGAAGAGGGCGGTCAGCGTGGTGTCGCTGCCTCGCGGAGCGCGCACGCCACGTAACAGGCTGTCGGCGACCTGTCCCACCAGGTAGTCCCCGGCCGCGCTCCCTCCGCCGTCGTCCACGCGCGCCCTGCGAACGGACCCCGATAGTCAGTCGCGCCCCGGCGAACGCGCGCCTCTCGCCTACCGCGCTGCCCACCACTCACGTGCGCCCCGCGCTTTTCTTTTTCTGAAGCTTGTTCTTCCCTTCTGAGGCCATTCCTCGTGCAAGACTTCCGGAACTGCCTCAGCGACAAACGCACCGCTCCGACCCCCCTTCCGCCCGTGACCACGCCCCTTCCGACCTCGGACACGCCCCTACGCTCCCGGCGGGTTCCTGGCGCCCGCAAGGTTGCCGCGGCGGGGCGCGGCGGGGCGGGGCGCGGCGCGGCGCGGCGGGGCGGGGCGGGGTCGTGAGTTTGGCTGTCGTTCTCGAGGTTGTCGGAGCAATCTGGTGTGGGAGTGAAGGAGATGGTCCAGTGCTTGAGGCCTGAAGTATGAGTAGGGTCCAGCTAGGCCGGGAGTGGGCGAAGAGCAAGCCATGGGTAGTTGAGGAGGGCGGGGAGGCCCGGCGGGAGTGAAGGCTGCGGAGGGGAAGTGCGCCTCGCGGTCGGGGAGGCGGCGCGACGGGCGCACAGCGCTTTGAGCTCTTTTCCACGTTCCTCTGACTTGACATCTTAAAATGAGGCCGCAGCTCAAGCGTTCGCACCTAGAGCTGCTGAGATCCTCGTGCGGCCCGCGATTCTGCCTAGAGACACTGGTTCCTCCAAGCCCATCTCGGGGTCCCCTTCCAAACCCTCGCGTCCTAGCCAGCTTCTCCTGCCCTCCTCTGTCCGTCTTTTGCTAGTTATTCGCACTGCCTACTTAAAGGCGTGAAGTAAGGATTTACGTCCTATTCATCCGTACGTCGTATCTGTTCACTGTACCTGGTGAATATTTGCTAAATTGACCTTTATGTAATAAGATGGTATCGAATTCAGTAGTTTGGGTTATAGAATAGGATTTGACTTGCAATCTTTTTGAAACAGCCTTGCTTTTGAAAGTCGCTTAACATAAGTTGACTGGAAATACATGTGATCTTTTTTTGCCCTGATAACTATGAAGAACTCACCCTGCTTGACCCTGGTTTTGATTACTGTGCTTCCTATTTGGGTTTCCGGTAATGTTGGTATCCTGATTATTTAAAATATAAAACGATCCACGTAGGCAGGTGGTGCACCTTGCATGCGTCCTACATCAGATCTATTGAAAAACTCTCTTCAGTTTCCTTTTCCCATTCCTTCTCCACGGTGGGTCCCTAATGTTCCAAGAGTTGTCTCTACCTAAAACACTGTAGTCTCATCCTATCTGGCCCTGGGGACTTCCAGCCTCCACACTAGCCTACGTCTGATTGCCAGGTAAATCGCCCTTTTGGGGTCATTTACTGTCTGCAGATACCACAACTTTCACTGATACTTTGCCATTGTACACTGGTTCTCCCGGACCAAGCAGTTCACTTAAAATTGCACTTGATTTTATGCCTTACCATAATTGCAAAACTAAGCCATGAAACTATACCATTGAAAGACTATCTTATGAGTGCATAACCCCTCACCTGATGTTAGTCCCAAATCCCTAGATGACAGGTTAAAACTAGAAGAAAAGGACTCAAAAATGAAAGACCAGGCATATGCCCGTAATTCCAGGAAGAGGCAGAGGCAGGAGGATTGCAAGTTCAAGTGCTTCAGCAATTTAGGCCCTACGCAATTTATGGAGAACCTGTCTTAAAAAGGTCTGGGATTGTGCTGGGGATGTGGCTCAAGCGGTAGCGTGCTCCCCTGGCATGCGTGCGGCCCGGGTTCGATCCTCACACCACATACAAAGATATTGTGTCCCCTGAACACTAAAAAATAAATATTAAAAAAAATTCATTCTCTTTAAAAAAAAAAAAAAGGTTTGGGATTGGGGCTGGGGCTGGAATATAGCTCAGGTGGTAGACTGCTTCACATGTACAAGGCTCTGGGAAAAATAAGGTCTGGGATTTAGCTCAGTGGCAAAGTGTCCCTGGATTAAATAAACCCTTGGTCCATGAGTACCACCCATCCCTGAAGAAAAAAAAAAAAAAACAGGAAAGTAGTGTGCAAGAGACTGTTATTGGAAATAATATAAAGATTATCCTTATTGCCATTCAGAACTGTTTTTTAACCATTAAAATATCACTAACCCCTCCCTAAGTGGTTTGACCAGGTGCAATGACATATGTCTGAAATCCCAGCAACTTAACAAGGACCTAAGTAACTTAGACCCTGTCTCAAAATTAGAAATGGCTGGGATGTACTTCAGTTCCCAGGCTTCAATCCCTGGTTCCAAAAGAGAAAAAAATGTTAGGGGTTTCATGGATTCTGCTCCATTTTATCAGAAAATTGCCTAAAGTTACTTCAGTAAGAAACCAACCTTTTGGAAAACAATATAACATCTCAGTTTTATAATATATTGTAAGCTAACCTAATAAATGTACTTTAGGGAATCCTTGGTAGACTTGGGTCAAATTCTATTCTTAATCCCTTTAGAGAGGTTGGTAAAAAAAAAAGGGGGGGGGGCATAAGCATATGATTACCAACAAAATTGGTAATCATTACTCTCTGGAGCACTGTCTGTAACATGTTAGGGTTTTGTGATGAGGTAAGATTGAAAACAATAGGATAAAGGGAATTATTTAGCCAAGTATCTTTCTACAAGCCTTCTCACCTTTTAAATAGTCAACACCGATTCCTTACAAAGAGTATGCTCTATAGAGCATTACCAAGTGTATTTGAGAATACATTTCTAGGGGACAATATTTAGGAACTCATTTTGGGAAGCAGGTTTGACATATTTTAAAACTTCTCCCTTAAAACTAATTTCTATAAAGGATCTTCCCAAAGATGCCTTAATGCATATTTGAGATTTTTGTGTCCAAGTTAATCTTCATTGTCTTAAGAACTTTTTCTTTTGTTGGAAAATCCACTAAATGGGAACAAAAAGCTAAATGTTGATTGTAGAAGATTTGGAGCACTGCAGTGGTTCTCAACCCAGGTGCACATTAAAATCATTGGAGTTCAAAGCCAGACTCAACAACTTAGTAAGGCCCTAAGTAACTAGGCAAGACCCAATCTCAAAAAGGGCTGGGAAGTGACTCTGATAAAGGGCCCCTAGGTTCAATACCTTGTAAAAAAGACAACAACAAAAAAAAAACCCTTATAGACCTATCCCTTCCCTTCATTCCTGTCTTACTCCACCTGACCATCCTGCGATCTTTCCCATGTGAATCTGCATGGAATAAATAAATACCCTGTTCTCCTTCTTCCAGGACCTAAAGAGTATAATAAATTGTTAAAAAAAAAAAAAATCAACACTCCGGTACTGTGCCAGACCAATTAAACAGAACTCTCTGAGGTGGGGTTTTAGTATTATTTTAGTAATGCCCATTTGATTCCAGTTTGCAACAAGAGTAAGGCAGACTTAAGATCTAATTAAATTAAAAAAAAAAAAAAAAACTACTAGTAATGGTTTTTGTGTTAATGAAAACAATTTTTAATTTTTTTCTTTTTCTTCTTTGGAGAATGAAGTCATAAGAAAAATACAGATTCAAGTAAAACAGTATATGTAATTCAAAAAGGCCTAAAACAATCCCTTTTCTGATTTAAGATGTCACAGGAGAAGACATGTCTCTGAGGAAGGGTTTGAGGAGTTTCCATAGAAAAGGGAAACTTGACCAGTGCTATTCTTGGCATGTGTGACAAAAAAATAATTTCAGCAAGTGCCAGTCAGAGGCAGAGACAGGTTTATTTAGGAAAGTAGATATTCATTCAAAGGAGATTGGGGCAGTCTCAAGAGAGATACCTTGGGGTAAAGCAAGGATTGTGCATTCAAGGGAGAATATAGGCCATTTCCAGACAGAGAGGCAGCAACCTGTTGGTGCAGCATCCATACTAGGGGCTAGATCTAAGGTGGACCCAGGTAGACTTACCTAATTTTGCCCAAGTATTTCCTGCACTTGCAAACTACCCTCTGTACACAGGCACAAGTGAGGGCATGTTGCTCGGGAGCTGCATTTCACAGGTGCTGCATTTTGGTGGCTTACAGGCACTTCCTTTGGAACTATCTCTTCCTTTATTCCCAAATTCCTATCTATCATCTCAAATGGACTTTTTTAAAATTTTGGTGCTAGGGATTGTACTCTGTGTCACGCGTGCTAAGCACACATTCCACCACTGAGCTACACCTCCAGCCCTGGTGAATGGACTTGTAATTTTTAAAGATGGAATATTCCCATTTTTATATGTCAGTTAACCACTTGTGCTAATATATATACTGGAGGTATATGTTCTAGTAGTTCATTACATATAGTAATGAACTACAATTACTTATCTTTTAGAAACAAGATCAAGGATTCACAAACTATGGCATTTTATTTCAGAGCCTTTGCTTACATTTGTACAATATATTACATAATTCTTCATTGTTTGCAGATCCTAATATATACTTTATAGCTTTTATTCTATAAGCTTTTTCTTCAACATTTTGCTGTCAACAAATCTTTACAGTCCTGTACAAATCTGAGTAACTTGAAACCATTTTCAACAAAATTAGTTACTATAAGCACACACTACAAGACTGAAAATGCTTTTCTTAGAAAAGTTGAATGTAAAGGATTAAGGATTCTGACACGTTAGCATCTACAACAAAACGCTTTGAAATTCTCACGTCGTATTGCCAGAAAACAAACAAAACATGCCAGCCCCATTCAAAAAAAGTACACAGAACTACAATTAAAACAGTAAAACAGTCTGTACAGCAAAGTACTGTGTATTAACAGTGCCAGGTATTAAATAGCTTCAATGAACACATCCTCAATATACAAATGTCTTACAAAGGTGAAGAATTAAATACAAGTGCCAAACAGAACAGAGATTGGAATCATACAACATAAAGTCAATACAGGTGAAAACAATTTTGCGTTCATTTTGGATTTTATACAAGGCATTTAATTTTAAAGGCCTATCACCCCAATTAGCTATTTATACTTAAAATAACAACCATCTTTCTCAAGACAGTTCATACAAACCTTGAACCATACTAACACAGTTTGTTCCTGAAGTCCTTTGTTGTAGCTCATAATAAAATAAGCAATACAAATGAATTATCTGTATTTAAGGGAAAAGAAACATTTACAAGAAAACACAAAAATATAACTGTTATAATTCATTATGAA